TAGTGCCTTGTCACCTGTCAACTTAAAACCAGTGCCATACAGGATACATACGCAACATTTTCAATTACCACACTGGACTAAGAGTTCCTCCTTCTTTCTGAGACTACTTTCACTGTGCATCACCTAGGCACCTATTAGTAAATAAATTTCTGAGTCCCATCTACCAAAGACATTGAATGGATTCAGCAGAGCATAAATCCTTCTCTAGAAGAAGGCAGCATAGGTAAAAAGTGATCTTAAAAATGCTGCAGAGTTGCTTGGGAGGGGTTATGCAGAAGAGCAGAAGCCATAAGGGTAAACTCTGATGACTAATCCAAACTCTGACATTTTGAGCTTTCCTCATTGCCAGGTTTGTACACATCTTTTGTAACACTGAGGCCAGGACATGTTTTTACATGTAGCTGGTTTACAGTATGCTTCGATTCACAATTTCACAAGTACATTCATGTGGAAGGGTAGCGTTTTACTCTATAGAAACAAGGCAAAAATAATTATTCTGTGTAGTTTTAGTCTTGGGCTAATAATTAGAGGAATACTATGGGAAGTGGGTCCCATACCAGGTCTAGAAGATGGGACTGTCACAGATTCTATTGAGGGCTCCCTTAACACCAGTAAAAATAGAAATAGAGTGTACACAAACCTGCGTGCTACCATAAATATCTGACCAGAATGCACATACAGGGCGCTGACAAACATGCAGCTTCCTTCTGTAACTCATAGTGCTTCACAGAAAGTGCCATGAGTTACAGTGACACCTCCCCTCACCACTCCATGCCAACAGACTTTGCTGTTTGGTCGGGGCAGGAGAGGAAGGAATCAAATTCAACTTTGGAGCTAATCCAGGGGAGAGAGGCTGTGTGTCTACAGCCTCTCTCCCCTAGCCCTGCCTTCCCGCTCCCAGCTCCAGTGCTATCTGCATGATGGGAGGGGGCTTGAGGAAGGAGAGGGAACTCCACTCCATCTTGGAGCACCTTCATCTAAACCCTCATTAAATGAGAATTAATTTGTCATGCAATTGGGCACTTCTAAAGCACACTGCAGCTGTGCACTTCTGTCAGGGCATAGTTCTGAAGCACTTTCAAGGGGCTAATCGTGTGACAAATATCACTTCTGTCAGAGCCCACAAAAGCATCAAACTATTCTGTCCCCTTCAGTCAGAATCCTTACAGCTCATCTTCTGTGTATCCATAATCTGTGGATTTATAGGTGATTCAAAAAAATGGGAAAAATAGAATTTTTGCAAAACAAAATTTCAAGTATGCAGACACTGTAATAAATGAAGTTTTATTGAGATGCACTGCTTTACTTCTGCATATCATCCAGCTGAGTGTAATCCCCAAATTTACTCTGATTTCACCTATTGTCTAAATGAGCTATGCTTCTTTTCTTAAAACTAACACCCAATCATTGGCCTGCACATCAGAACAATTTGTATAAGTGCATATAAATATGCATTTAAGGTACAATGTCAAGATTGTACAAACACTTGATTGGGATACTTTAGTCAAGGATGGCCCTGTATTGAGCAGGGGGCTGGACTAGATGATCTCTTCAGGTTCCTTGCTGCTCTACTCTTCTATGAGTCTACACTATTTCAGGACTTGGTAGCTAAAACTGCTCACCTAAATCTTCCAAAGATTCAGAAGGAAACCTGGTATATTGAAATGCCTTATGTGGAACACAGTTGCTGCACAAATCAGAGCTAGATTTTTATTATTCCACATCCTTTGTACGACATATCTGAGGTTTTTAGGTCATAGGGTTGTAGACAAAAAAATTACCCGTGAGCTCTCCTTTGAACATTCTAGGCTTATAACAGGTTAATTTCTGTCCTTTGGTTGTGAATGGGGCCATTTACTGGAAATTTTGACTCTGTATCCAAAGGCAGGTTTTTTTACCCAGTGCAAGCTGCATTACAGTTATAAACTTGGTAAATACAAAGGTGGATCAAGGGAAAAAAATAGATTTTCTCTAAAAATACAGGAGTTCAAATGATGGGTAATTATTACATCCAAAATATTTCCTGTTTATATTAAAAGCAATTAAAATTTGAGTCATTTGTTGATAATTTGCTCCTTAGTGACAGCACCCAAATTTCCATTCAAAATTAAGCACTCTCCCTGTGTTATCATAAAGATGCTTTTTATTTTAATTCTACAATAACAGATAATACTGTTATCTTAGAAGAAAGAGATTACTGAAACCTAAACCTTAAATGGAAACAAATTTCTTACTTTAAACTGTGTCACCCTCACTCCACAGCAAGAGTGATTATAATCTGCAAGGGGGAGGGGAAAGAAGTAAAGCCCTCAAGAAGCAAGCCTTTCATAACTCCACCATTTTTCACAGGCAAGTATAATTATAGTTTTGCATAACCATCTAATGAAAGGAAGTCCTTTCTTGCAGTGTTAATAAAGGACCCTGCCTAACATGTTAACAAAGCAAATGCACGCTATGTAGGTAATGTCATTGTGTAATTAGTATGCTCGTAAGATGACTTAAGATTACAGTTTATCTGAATCTAATAACCACCTATCAGCAGCTTTACCACTCTGTCTTTTTCAATATATCTTTCCTCATGAATGGTTTGAGTATCTACCCGCTCAGTGGGGATCCCTGGTATATAGCATCATAGAGAGAATCAGTCTCGGAATTCCATTCTAAAGGAACGAACACACAAGCTTCGTTAAAATACAGAGATATTCCAAAAACACTATCATTCATTTTGAAATATAATGTTACAAAACCAGGTACTGGTACAAAATCTCACATCCAATCTGAGGGAAATGGTTAAAAGGGAGAGGGGAGTGGCACTAACTGGAATACTAGCTCTTCAAAGTGTTTATATAAAGAATTCAGATAAGAGGAGACTAATCCCAGAAAACTGGACTACTCGGTCAGCGCTTTTTAGTGACCTGCCAATCTATTTGTTTTTCTTTTTCTATTTTTACTTTATCCCACTCTTTCACAGTCTATCAGGAGTGCGGATGGATTTCATGGCAGAGATGGGACTCTAAGTAATCTTCTGTGATCTAATCACTAGATCTCAAGCAATCTATAATTGAGAATAATAAAAATGCTACAAATAGCTGTGTTTAAATATCAAACCATCTCCCATTTCTCTATCAGATTTAGAAAAACAATCAGAGCCAGTGACTGAGTAGAGGATGACAGGTAGGGGTTAAGCTTTGGGGTGGCATAGTTTTATAACCGAACATTTCAAAGTCGACAACGTAGTAAGTCAGGATTGTCACTGGGGTTACAAGCGTTCACAAGTTCTAATGTAAAAGAACAGTCAAGGGTTATATCAGGACAGACTATGAAACTAAAACTTTGTGCATTCCCCAGATTAAAACCTTTACAAAAGAGTAAGAAATTACATAGAAATTCCTTTTCTTTTTAGAAATGTAACTCCTTGAAGTAGTAACTGTAAAGCAGATTAAGACATTGCCAAGTATTTGCTAACCTACTTACAGACATCATTGCTCCCCAGGGCCTTTGTAGCCTTACACCTTCCTTAACGGACTAGCTGAATAGGTAAATGGGTTATATCAGGCCAGGAAATCAATGTGTATACTGTGTTCTCAGCCACAGATGAGCTTGTCGAAGCCATTTTATTATAGCTCTAGGAGCTGTATTGATCTGACTGTTAACTACTCTGAGGTGGCTAGCAATCCAATGAAGATGCGTCCCTCCGTCCATCCAAATGCTTTCTCCCCTCAATAGTTCTTACAGAGTAAGTGTTTGCAGATTGAATTAATTTAATGTTTGCTTAATCAAAACTGACTATGCTGGAACCTAAATTCTATTAATTACTAAAGGAATCACACTAATGCTCTAACATGACATTAGCCTGCAATGGCCCTGCATTTTGCTACGAAAATGAGAGAACAAGGGGGCTAGTCTTTAATTTAGAGAAGCATCTAGCTTTGATTTCACTCCAGCGCTCTTCAAACAAAAATATTCCAGAATTTCTTTTTCTAAAATCTGGTTATCTTCTGTTACCATATTTTGTTTACCCTAGATAATTCTGGAGAGTGAAGCAAAGGTATTTCATTACATCTTTAATAACTATAATGAAAAAACAAACCAATCCACCCAAGTTTATTTGTGGGATCATGGAGAGTTCAGGGGGCAGTAAATAGAGCAAAAAGTCTCTTTTCAGCTAGTTTAGTCTCATTTCTACAAAGCCTTAAAATATAGATAAAAGTTAGATTTTTTTTCAAGTCATTTTCATTCTTTGTTTTTAACATAAAAAGTTCTCTGTTTTTCTACAGCAAAAATAGCCTAGAACTAAAATACTCATCCATCATCTGACATGCCAATATTACTAAAAAGTGGTGTTTTCTAGTAACATTATCCATGTACCAGGCAATATACATTGTGGATTCAGAAAAACCATACAACACCATTTCCTGGGAAGTGGACATTTCAGGAAAATTGTTTTTTTCTGGCAGCAATTTCTAAAACAAGACAAGGAACATGGCACATTTTTAAGAAATGCGTACATCACACTCTACAGTCCTTTAGGGGTAACCTTTTTGATATAGTTGCAGGTCTTCATTTTTTAAATAAGTAACGTTTAACATTACTGTTGGATGTAGCATATTTTCAAGGAATTTTGACACAAATATAGTCAGGTGGCTTTAGCATATTATGATTACAATTGTAATGATCTATGGCAAAAATAATTTTTTTCACAGAAATAAAAATAACATTTGATAAACAGCCTTATGCTTGCAAATCACACACTGTGTGTTAAACAACAGTAGCCAACTGCACAGATTAACTACATACAAAGCATATGTCCCAAAACAATGATTTCATTCCAAACAAAAGAACAATGTGTGCTCTTTTTTTCGCTTTCCAATTTACTACTTCAATTACGAATATTAAAAATTATGTATCTGACAACTGCACCCATTAAATGAAAAGTTAGTAATTCTCATAGATGTATAGCTTGAAATAAAAAAAGAGGTATAACAAGTAATCCCTCCTACCCTGAGTTCAGGGACTTGATTTTTCCAATCAAATGGCAGAGCTCTCACTTGAAGATCCTCAGCCACAGGTTAAAATCCGGAGAAAGTCATCTTGCTATCCTAATGATTGTATTAACTAAGGGATTGCATTAACAATGATTTATGTCACACTATGTACCCATAGCAAAGTCTCAAATCACAGAGCTAAAGCATGGATGACAAGTATAGGAAGCAGAATAGGTAGGGAGAAAGTTGCATATTTATATGGACCACTGGAGCTCCACATGTAGCCATCAGGAAGAACACTTAAACCTTTATGACCTTACAGTTGAGTAAAGAGAGAGGGGCCACACGGGTCCCACTCTCTGAACCCCTGCCCATACAGAGAGGAGGATGCCTTCTAACTTCTATTCACAGATGGAGTAAAGAAGAGATGGATAGGGGAAAGGAGTGGGTGGAGTCACAAATCCAATCTCCTCCCCCTGCACCGCCCCCTCCCCCC